TGAGTGGTGCCAAATAGGCTCAATATACATATAATAACAATATTAGTCATCAACATCCCTTTTTGGATGATTTCTACTATCTAGATTAACACTTCTTCACTGTTAAGATTCAATCCCTTCACATACAGGGGTACTCATATAGTTTCTTAGCTTCCTTTAACTCTCATTAACTTTATTGAACTCTTAAATTACCATTAATGGAGCCACATTATTCCAACCACCTCATTAATGGTGGATTTTTGATTATTTATGACTCTCAACAATAAAAAACACATAGAGTCATAAATGCTTGGTTTAAATAACTCAATCAACTCATATTAACTCTATTTAAGTCAAAAAGTTCTGACTCATAGCTTCTATGGACAGAAAATCATCTTCCTCAACCAAACCTTAACTCATAACATTAAGAAAATGGAAGAAAAAAAGAGATTCAAGCTTAGAGAATTTACCTCTAGTGTTTGGAAGCTCTAAAACACTGCTAATGCTTTAATTCTTCCAGCCCTAGTAGAGCTTTTTCATTTTCCTTCACTTCTCCTTTGTTTCTCTTATGTTTTCTATCAGTTTTTGAGTCTAAATTTTGTAAATTTATCACCATGCACTACGATAGATGTCCCCACACGCCATAACATGTGGCACAGAGAAGGGTCTTCTTCTTCAAATAGCATTATGCGCTTGACATCTTATGCACATGATATGGCACAAAGCCATTTTTCTATGTTTTTCTCACTTTTTTCAGCTCGAGTGACTCGACCTCACTTCGAACTTAATTCTAAGGTTGAAATCACACCCTAAAACACTAGTTAGCTATTTCTAACCACACACCACATAATTTAAATGATTAATCTCATTTATCTAGCTAATTAAGGGTCAGATTTTCTCAGATGTTGCATCCTAGTAGCCCTAAGCTGCTCCTCCATCATATCTTTCTTGTTTCCCTTTATTTTCCCCTTTCGTTTGAGTTAGTGTGCCTATCTAATATCAATGTTTTGAAATCTAGACCAGTTAAACCGGAAAGAGCAACAGGTTATGATTTTCATGGTTCGATCGATTAGACTGACGATCGAACCTGTGACATAAAAATTAAAAAAATAGTATTTATATACACAAATATATAAATAAAATATTAATTTGTTAATGGTGCTTGGAATTTTGATGCTAAAGGCGAGATGCCTGGATTGCTGGAGTTGGAGACAGAGGCATATCAATAAAAGCTCATGATCTCGAAGCAAAACAGTAAAGCTAAAGGCACGCCATCATGTCATAACTCACGAGCTTCTAATCTCAATGCCAAAAGCTGGATGGTTAGAGTTGAAGGCAGAAACTAGATGAAAGGTCAGAGATTGAGCCTAGGCTATGGAGGAGAGATTAGAGATGAGGTAAGAGAAGATAAAAGAGAACTAGAGATCAGGAAAGAGAAAATGTGAATCTGAGTGACTTAGCCTAAATTTTTTTTAGCTTTAAACTAGGTTGACCTGCTCTAGTTTCTAGGTCAACTCCACTTTTGTGAAAACTATCTAGGTAAACCCAGTTCAAATGCTATATTGGTTCAATTGGTTGAACCAGGTCATTTTGATTAACGGAAGGTGATCGGACCGATTTGATTGTCTGATTCAGTTTTCAAAACATAGTCTGATATATTTAGATTTTTACACATCCACCACGGTGAATGGCATAGTGAAGCCTAAAATCACCTCACTTGATACCGATCTTCTCAAACTCTGACTTAGCTCTCTTCCAAGATTATCCAATGACCTAAAATTTAATAGTTCAAAAATATTATAAACTCATAAATCACTCAAATTTACCAATTCACCTCTGTGAACACTTAAAAATTCAAAGTTTAAAATCTAGAATGTTATAAAAGACTGGTCCCAAACAGTGACAATAGTGGTGAACTAAAACAAGTTGGATGTGATAACCAGCACCGGATAGTGGTAGCAGACTGACACCGAATGACAGCACTAAACTAACATCGAATGATGAAGATGATGAAAAACGGGCAATGAGCAGCCATTCGGTTCTGATCAAAGCTGGTAATCTGATCTTGCTATCATGGGCTATTTGATCTGAGTCTACCTTGGCCATTTGGTCTCGATCAGCACCCATAATCCGGTCTTGATCGTTATCGATGGGCTAGTCTCGGCCGATACTAGTCGTTCAGTCCTAGTCTACCCTAGTTGTCTAGTTAAGGTCGACATCGGTGGTTCAATCTTAGTTGGCGCTGGGCATCCAATCCTAATCAAAGCTGATCCTTTTAATCCTAATTGTCATCAGAGGTTCGATCCTATTCCACGTCGGCTGTCCAGTCTTGATTAGTGTTGTCGTGTGATCCAAGTCATAATTACCTGTCTAATCTTGATCTGTGCTAGCAATTTGGTCCCTGTCAATGTCGGCCGTCAGGTCTCCGTCGATGTTGAAAGTTTGGTCCTAATCAGTGCAAACATTTCGGCCCTCATTGTTACCTACGGTCTCGATGGATGTAAGCTAAAGGCAGCAATGTCAAAGTGAAAAAGTAGTAAAATCAACGAACGAATGTGAAGGAAGAAATAATCTTCCAATGAAATTTGAAATAATAAGGGTGTAGAAAGAATTTTAATCACAAAGATATTGAGGTAGGATTTGGATTTAGATTTGACCCCAAATCCAAATCCACACATTTTTTATTACCTAAACAATTTGTTTTAGTTCAAATCCAAATCCACATTATCTAAACATAGCATAAATTTTTTATAGGATTAAAGGGCATTTCCTCCCTTAATTATTCGTTTAGGAGTATCTGACATCCTAAACTTTTATGTGATACACTTTCTTCCTACAAAATTTTAAAAATAGTGCATTGAGTATCCTGCCATTAAAAAAGTTAGTTTTCGCTATTAGGTAACTTAAAAATTATAGAAAAAAATCTCAAAAATATAGAAAAATGCTTCACAAAATTGCACATAAGTACTCTGCAAAAAAATTAATATTAATTAAGTCCCTTAAATCATATATAAACAACATGATGCAAATGTTATTTTTTACCTTGATTAAAACATTATTTTAAAGGCTTAATCAATATTAATTTTTTTATATGATACTTATTTGCAATTTTATAGATCCTTTTTTGTAACTTTTTTAGGTTAGTTTTTTTTTTTAATTTTTCACTCAACTAATGGTTGAATTTTACTTTTTTAAACCACAAGATATCCAATATACTATTTTAGAATGTTGAAGGGTAAAATTACACCACATCTAAATTTATAATTTAGATGCTAAGGAATAGTTAAGGGATAAAAATATCTTTTAATCCTTTATTATAATATTAAAAGTAAGATCCCAATGTCATGGAGGAGTTTATTCTTTAGAAGCCTGTTAAAAATAAAGCCACGATCTCAACTAACTGTGAAGAGTTGCAGGCCAGTGATCGATAATGACAATATTTAATCCTCAGAAGAGCAGCAATGAGCTTTAAGTCTGGAGATTTAAGAGTTATATAGAGGCGTCACAAGGTCAAGAAGTTTTATATACTGAGAAGCTAAATAAGTATAGAAAGGCTTTTAAAAAAGTGATGTAAAAAATACTTTTTAAATAATAATAAAGATGATGCTAGTAGTAAAGATTGAAACCAAGTTGATTACAAATGGGGGGTTAGAAATTCAGATGGAGTTAATTACATTCTTTCATCAACATACTTATGTGTGAGAAGGCTAGTGAAAATATACCTCAATTTTATAGAGTGATATTATAGTCACTTAGAGAGACAATTCCGAAGCACTTCTTCCGAACAATAATACATAGAATTTTTTTTAAATATTGTTTGATTTAAAATATAGAATGTTAGGTCATTTTCATAATTATTTTTATAACCATACCCCTATTTTATTTATTATTATTTTTAAAATGATTCATTAAAATTTTAATTATCATTATTATGGTACTTATATATAATATTTGATGAGGATATAATTTTCTAAGATATTAAAGTATCTTTATCATTCTTTTTTCTTTAAAAAAAAACAATGACTCATTGAATGAAAATTTCCTAATAGTTTCAAGATATAATTTTTTTTAAAGGAAGTTAAGTGGAATTCTCCCTTACTACAATGAGTTGTTTTTATAAATTTATATAAAATAAAACTTAAAAACAAAATCCAACCAACCCCGACCAACGCGGTGCCTGCCAGAAACAAATCATGTAATTGTAAATTTTTGCCCAATTTCCTCGATGCTTATAGTATCAGTGCATTTCTTTGAATTACGTTCAACGTTAATAACTATAGAATTGATATTATATGATGGAGACCGAGCCTAATATTTGAGTGGGGATTACTGACAGTTGACCAATGTTATTCACTTATTCTACTTCGTCCTTCTCGTCTACAGGAATTTTGCCAAATAAAAATCTCTTAAAATAACTTCTCAAGAGGTTAGAAGAGAAGGGGGAAAAATGCATATCCTGCTTCTGGAACCCAGAATACTGGCCATGGTTTGTTTTTTTTTTTTTTTAAATATTTTTATTTTTAAAAACTGTTTTGTAATATAGTTATCAAAATTATTTTTCAAAGCAAAATAAAATGAAAATCAGGTTAAATAAGTTAATTGTAAGACAATTTTAGAATTGAAAAATAAGCTGATAAAAAATGGTAATAGTTTATAATAAAAATTGGTCAAACTATATTTTTCAATAATAAAATGTATTGTATTTAAAAAACATGGAAATTAAAATAATTTAAAAAGCATAAACAAACATACCATAAACCTTACTTTATCTGTCCCCCCCCCCCCCCGGGCCCTTCCTCTCAATTAAACTTCACTCTCCAGCATCTGGATTGATTAATTGATCCGTGACCCTCTAGAAATTCAGATTGGATTGCATTACCTCGCTTCATGTCCATGAATAACCTGCCAAGCAACTAACCTGCAAGAGGAAGCGAGCAAGGCGCCGAAGGCGTGAATTACTAATTGCTAAAATGGTATATAAATACCACCCACGATCCCATTTTAACTATCCGTTTTCTCCAATGGCCGCTCTCTGGTTCATTCTCCTCCTTCCACTCATCACATTGGGCGAATCTCGGCCAACAAGTGGAATCAACCAAACTGATCTGCAGACTGCCATGGCTGACATGAGAGCAAGATATTACCATGGATTTGTAATCCTCCTCAAAATCCTCAACATGCCCAATTCCCTGCAAACCACTGATCTAACGTTCCTCATGCCAAGTGATGAAGAATTATCCCAATTCTCAATCACTGCAGGCCATCTCCAAGATTTCATACTCATTCTATTCCAACACCACTAGTCATCAATCAACTGCTACGTTTTCCCAACGGATCTCTGCTCCCTTCCAGCGTTCCAAACAGGATGATCAGCATCACCAACAGTAGATCAGGCGTGTTTCTTGACAATGCAAGGATTGTCACACCCAATGCCTGCATCAGTTCTTCCATGAGGTGCCATGGGATCAGTGCTGCTTTAGAATTTAACATGATGATTCCAGATCACCAAGCTTTACGTTTTAAGGGCACTGCAAAGAAAAACGTGATGCCAAAACCAACCTCCACTGTCAAGCACAAGAAGAATGGTACTCCTAGGTTGTAATGTTGTGTCAGTGTCATTCATAATAAAACATCAGCCCTACTTTTTCTGCAGCTATGATGTATCTGGCCATGAGCCTATTGATGCAACTTAGAAATATATGGAATAAAACTACACTTTAGTTTACCGCATTGTCAAAACTATAGCACTCACACCGAGAGTCAACCACCACTACAGAAGAAACTACTGTTTGTTGCAAAAGCAAGACTATATATTACTGGACAGAATAACAAGCCTAGCTGCAAACTGCTTTAAGCCTTTACTAAAATCTCTTCCCTATACAAAGGCTGATAAAACTGTCTTAAAACCCAATGAGATTTGATTGACTCTCGATTAATGGTTCAACAGAAGATATTCCTTTAATATGGTAAAAATTAAAACATACACAGAACAAATACTCATGGATTTGTTCGGAACGGGTGACGCTCATTAGGCTGACTATCTGTCTTAGGAGGAACACTATAAAGCAGATCATGGATTTTGGAATACATCAGCATCTGAGATGGGTCACCGCCACTACTACTCTGCGAAGCACGAGAACTCTCCTGCAATTTAATCTTCTCATAGAGATATTGCTTCTCAGCTTCAGCCTCACTTAACCGTTGTTTCAAGTAGTTACTTGTATATTCTTCCTCTGATTTATCAGATTTGGCAAGAGCAATTCTCTGGAGCCTTTCAGCCTCTCGTTTAGCCTCATTAGCCTTAAGCTGGAACATGTCAGCTTCTGCAGTTTTAAGCCTCACAATTCTCTCCAGTTCTTCTATCTGTAATTTCTTTTTTTGCCTCTCCATCTTGAGACCTTCAGCTTCCCTAGCCTTATCTGCTAATTCTCGATCACAAGCATCAAGAGCCAAGCGAGCCTTCTTGAACATTCTCATCTTCTCATCAGCTACCATTTCCATTTTTCTTATAGCCTCCTGCACTACATCAGCAATTCTATTGCATGCCTCCTGTGGAGCAATCATCCTTCCACTTTCTCCATTTTCCAGGCTCTTTGGGGAGTCCACATCAAGCTCTTCATAAAGGAAAATCATTAGTTAAAGCATGGGGAAAAGAAAATGCTCACAAAAAGCCCCTGGCCAAATTAAACGACAAAATTTCAATGTATCAATTAATTAATTAACGGCTTCGTTGATTTGTCCATTTATTTGCATCATATCTCTTGCTGCCCATTTCTTCCTACATGTTTACATGTACAATCATTATAAAACATATCATGCTTCAAGATAGAATCATTACACCCTTCCATAATATCAAGCTTTTAGGCATTGTAAATCTTTTGGTTTTTGGTATCAAAATGATAATGCCATTTGACATTATCAGACACAAAACAAAATAGTGAGGAATCCTTCTTACCTTGGTGGAAGAACATCAATATCACCCGGCAGGCAGCATTTGGTTCCACTATTCCACTTTTCATTTTCTCCTTTAGATCCTCGCACTTCCAGAATAGTTTCCTCCCTCTGGGGTCTTTACTACCTTGAAAGATCCTACTAACAAAATCAAGTTCCCTCATTAAAGCCTCCCCATCCCAAGATGGAGCACAATGCTGAAAAACATCTTTAACCCAACCCAACAGCTCTGAAGTCCTCTTGCACGCATGGCACCTGAAAACCATTTCACTAGGTCCTGCACCACTCTTTGCTGAAGGGCCCGTGCAAATAAGTTGATCACGAATGGCGCAATCTGTATGGGTCCAATGAGAGCATAAATCGCATCCAATCCAGCGGCATGTATTTACTTCAAAGTCAAACTTGTTGCAGATTACACACATGCAGAGATTGCAGAAACCATTTCTGCCGGTGCATATTTCACAGGTACAGTCATCAGCAGGAAGCTGGTTTTGACAAGCTATATTTCTGCATCTCTTGTACACAAAGATCTCAATGAGGGAAGTTTGCGAGAGACTGATGTTGGGATGCAAAAATGCCTGAATTCCAGTATTAATAGCAACAAGGATTTCAAGCTGCACACGATGTGCTCTGATCAAAGTCTTGCCTGTTAAATCAGTTCTACTTTGAACAAGCCTCTGCAAAGTGAAAAATTCCTCCCTGTGCTGTGAACCATTCCCTCCCTCAAGGATCACTCGAAGACTGTTCTTCAGTTCTTCTAAAAATTCTTCAGGTAGATGGTGCATCTTTTCAGAGATTATGTCAACCCTTTCTCTTCCTATGTCCTGGAGAGTAATTTTGTCAGCACTAGAAACGCAACGGATGACTGACTGCTCAGGGCAATCATTCTCAGCCTTCCCATTATCCATCTTCTTTCCTGCAATAGCTTCAGCAGTGGGCCAAGTTTCTCGCGAACTGGCACTTTCAGTAGGAGATTCTCGGATGTTGTCAGAGTTTGATCTAGGTTCCTCAGGAGAGAGATGAGGATCAGAAGAAACTAGGGACAGTGAAGTTTGCGGTCCTCCAACACGAGATTGCTGACGTGGAGGCAGCATTTTAGAAGAAGATTGCTGGTTGATGTTGGACCCAGATGACACACCCATCAAAAGTTTTACTTTGTCAGTGACTGTGGCAGCAATGATTATATGCAATGTTTATTAACAACCATACTTAATATTAGTACCTCCAGTGTACTCATTCTTGTTTAATTGACAAAGGCTGAATTTAATGCCAAATTTTACAATAAATGAGGAATTTAAATAAATAAGTGAAGTACACAATTTATATCATTTCAAAAGAAAACTATCTTTATGAACTGTGATATAGACATGAATGTACAAGCTCCAAAATCATCAATCACCTAATAAGGTATTCAAAATTAGTTGCACCTGTTCATACAAGCTATCTACAACTTTTTATCCCTGATGGGCACCCAGGTAGGATGGTAAATCATCAATCTTCAATGAGTCTCACATATGTTACACATCTAACCAATAATGGTTTATTATGAAGGAGGGTGTAAGTTCACTAACATAAAGTAGATCCTTTAGTTTGCCATACTTTCATAACATGTGACAGGATTAAGAAGTCTATACCCTATTCATCTCACAAAAACAGTCATCAGTCATAGGCTGACATAAGGCAAGGTTGTTGGCTTGTCTTTATCTAAGAGTTGAGACATTGGACCAATCAGAAGACTCTCTTCAGTTTTCTATTAATAAACACTCCCTTGCCAGCTATAAAGTATAACCAAGACAGCAAGAATCTTAGTTTTCCTTAAAGAAATTCACATTCATCCAAATATCCAATAACTTACTAAGGAACACGGATCTTAGCTTCATGTGATGCTACCTTCTTGCCCCAGATTAATGTGATTATGTTAAGCATTTATTTTCACGGGTCATCATGCTGCAGAAAATAAAGCTAAAATATAGATATTTTCCTCATATGTAAAATGGCATGATTAATAATCTCAATTCATAGAAAATTTATTCGTAAACTGATGAAACAATATATTACACTAGTTTTTGGACTGCCTGCAGGCATCGCAGTTTCGGTTCACTGAAACCTCCAACAGGCTACCTTTTTTCCCCCCTTTTTTACTTGTAGACACCTTTTATAAAATACTAGCGAGAAAATCCACCACTCATAAATGCAGGGGAAGATTATTAGAAAGTTTGGGTTTAAATTGTCACATGATTATATCACCTGAGAAATTTTTATGTTTAAGTGGTCCTATAAATTACTTTTAAATTTAGTTACCTTATTCAGCTTATTACTTTCCATTTAATCATATGGGAAATCACCTACAGCATAAAAGAAGCTTTATAAGGAACAATTCCAAATTTTTAACGCACAAGATCCTCCCAATCCCGTTCTCTAGTCAGCAGCTGGATTTCCATATCATATAAGCTACCTTCTCAATCCAAACAACAGATCAAATGATTATGACGTTATTAAGTGACCCGTAACATAGTTTGACTGAAAATTCATCGCCGACAACATTTAATAGAAGTCACAGATCATTTCATTCTTTTTCACACAAACAAAAGTCGAAACCCATCACAGAAGGAACAAGGATGATGGATACTTTCACAATTGAGACAGCTTCAGACTACAGAAACATTAGAATCCATACAATCACAGCAAAATCTCTAAAAATTATCTAAATTCCAAAGGAGAGAAACCTCACCAGAGAAGAAAACACCAACGAAATCAAACCGAACTCAGCCAATGGATCGAAAAGGAAGAAGACTTCGATCGTGAAATTGGATTCACTCCTGTTCTGCACCCAACCGGCGCTAGGGTTACTAAGCCAGCGAATCGGAGCGAAGGGAATTTTGGGTTCAAATCGGGAGTGGAATCTGAACGGAGAAACCGGGAAAGTGAAAAACTAGACGAGGAGGTCAAGTTTTTCAACGCTGGGGTGACCGGCTCAGCCGGTTGACCCGTTTAACGCGTCCTCGCGGTCGCTGCTTTGCTTTTGCGTCCCTTGGCGCAGTCGCATTGTCCGTGGCACCAGGGAAATGCCGTTAGATAGAACGGTCAATGGTTTTCATTAGGAATTAGGATGCACTGCTTGGTCAATTATCACTTCACTTTACTAGCAACGTGTCTGTTACGCTTTGAATAGCCCAAAAAATTAATTAGAAAATCTTAAAATTTGATTTAAAAAAATATTTATACATCTATATTTTAATTAAATCAATCATTTTAGTTACTCAACTAAAGGCACATATTTTACTAAAATCATTTATAAGCCTAAAAACTAATTATAAAAGTTTAAAATGTGGTTATTAATAAGTCTGTTTAGTTAATTAAAAATTTTTATATTTTCTTAGGAATATTAAATGAGAAAAATTAATATTAATAAATTTTTATATTTCCTTTGGAATATTAAGTAAAAAAAATTAATATTAATATCATCGTTATAAAAGAAATTACCATGCTATGATTCTATGGAATGATAGAGACATATGGAGTATCGTTAGATTTTTTTTTTAAAATTTATTTTCCTATAGAAAAGGGAGACACACGTACTCACATAAATATGTCAATGCTAAATTTAAATTTAAGACTTTTTCCAAATAAAGAAAGTAATATTACTACTAGGATAACTAGCTGTTATTGTGGAGCTCTATTAGAAATGTACTTATATGGGGGAAATAGATAAAATTTTTTAAAAGGGGTGTTTGCACACTGTTTTTGTTGTTTA